GCCATCAATAAGTAAAATAAGGTTGACTTGAACACGAGCTCGGCAATACCACAACACGAGCTGATCACTAAGACAGCTCAGGTGAGTGGGTAGGAGCACGTGCCATGTGAACATGCTGGGCAGAGCGGGCTTATGTCTCCAGCAGGATGGCGTGAGATTTCATCACCCTACTCAGAACAGCATGCCATTTAAAACTGATGAATTGTTTATTTCTGGAAGTTTCCATTTAGTATTTTCTGACCTTGGTTGACTGTGGGTAACCAAAGTCCCAGAAAGTAGCAATGTAGATAAGCAGGGAATGTATGTAAATAGGTAACAAATTGGAGGTCAGTGGGTTCAGTTTTCAAACTCTTTAGTTACCCCAATTTTAAGGTTCGGGCATTTACAGTAAAAAAAGGAATGTTTGGCAGACATTTTTCTGCACCTGGAGCTGTGGGGCCTGCTCTCTGGGAAGCTGTATGGCCCCACCCTGCAGTGCCATCCTTTTGCTGGTGTGCACGTGTCCCATTCAGCGGGCAGCAAGCTCAGCTCATGGCCTGGCCTTCTGTTTGTTTTTGTGGCCAATGAATAGCTTTTACATTTTTTAATAGCTGGAGGAAAGTAATTTATGTCAGGTGAAAATGTTATGAAATTCAAATTTCAGTGACCATATTAAAGTTCTGTTGGAACACAGCCATGCTTATTAGTCAACACACCAACTGTGGTTGAGTAGTTGTGACAGAGACCTCACGGCCCACAAGTGCCCCATGTATTTCCTGTCTGATACTTTATGGGGAATGTGTAACAGCAAACAGCAGTGTGGTACACAGGCTATAATCGGGAAAGATGTTCTGCAACCTGGGTGTCAAACATCCAGTCATGGCCATATTCAGGAAAAAAGTCCTAGTGTTTTCACATGCCTGATTATTTACTGTTTGTTCGTTGTGTACAAATAAAGAATTAAAAAGGAAACAGGTTTTTGGGTGGTAAATTTCTGACTTCCTTCACTTGAGATAATTTACTATCTGCATGAGATTAAAGCTAAGCTCTTAGGAGATGTATAAACTTATTTCTGAAAATATAAAAATCACAGATAAATTACAAGTCCGATGTTACTTCTGAATCCATGTAGATAGATTTTTAGCATTCCTGTCACTTCTGTAATTCTAAGGGATTTTATATAACCGTGTTTTTACAATCTCATATAGTTTCTCTTTTTATATGTATATTAAACTATATACACTGTATATATAGAGCGTCACACAAAGCTGGATTGATTTTAGATAGTATACAAAATATATGCAATTAATTCAGTGCTGCAGTTGCCCATTTATCTTTTTATTCACTCCAGTCAAAAGATAAGCGTGTAAATTTGAATTAATATTCATTTGATTTAAATTTAAGATAAAAACAACCAGATTGTCTCAGGTGTTTCAGTGAAGGAGATGAGAAGACAGATTTCCTACTCTTGGCCTCGTTTTAACTTGTGTTACCGATGTAACTCGTGCTAGAACTTCAGCTTAAGTCATCAAATAATTTACTTATGTGACTTTTCTTGCTAAAAGCAGAGACAAGAAAATGTCTAAAGGACTTCAGAATGTTGTGAGAATATGCTTCAGATCTTTGAAAAATACTATTCATAGGCAGGTGTAAGGTATTAAGTCTGTCGATATTAGTGTTTTCATGAAGAGATATTCTGTTCTGAGTAGAAGCTATGAGGCGTCCTTGTTTTGACTCTGCCGTTGAATATTAGTCCTGGCTAAAATTCTGTCACTTCACGCATGCATTGAAAGGGGACTTAACCCCTTTCAAAAATAAATGGATGATTCTATGTCAGATGTCACATGAAATTCAGGGTATGTTCTCATATGCATTAAAACTAAGAATTGGATTTCAGGTAATTTAGACAGCTTTGTTATGGAAGGTATGCTGGGATAAATGTTTTTAAATTTTTCTTTTACTCTGTTTTACAAAAATAGATAATAGTCACTTGTATAATGAAGAAATAGCAACAAGTGTTGAAAATAGTGTGGAAGCCTTCTTTCCCTAGGCCAGTACTTCCTACGCAGCCTGTGTAAGCACTGGCTCTGCTACTGCTGTTCTCCTTCAGCCCAGAAGAGCCTTGCGTCTCTGGGGCCCATAGTCGTCACAGCTGTGGCTCAGCCATCATACCTCTCATTGGCAGGCAGTCCTTATTTTAAACTGTTAGGAGTTTTAGGTGACATAAGAAAGCAACAATTTGTTGTAGCTCTGGTAGACAACACTGTTTGATTTGTGGTGAGGCAGTCAAGGAGTGACTGATCACTGCCTGTGTTCTCAGTTAAAAACTTCAGGGATATTAGTGTCTTTTCAGATTTCCTAGTGAAGTTTCTCACTAGTGTAAAAATCACCTGGGGAGAACTTTAAAAATGTTTTCTGTTAAGAAATGACCTTAAACAGATGGATTTTTAAGCAATGTCACTGCACCAAAGTGTTCTTTTTGGTGTGTCCAGTTATCAGTTGCAGTAATCGAAGCCCATAAACCACAGAGAAAATTATAACCTCGTGGGTTTTGTAAAACATCAGTTGCTTTATTTACTATGTGAATTAATTGATTGCTTGCTTTTTTATTTGTGTTTCTTTTTCTTTCTTTCTTTATTTTTTTCTGAGATGGAGTCTTGCTCTGTCACCCAGGCTGCAGTGCAGTGGCATGATCTTGGCTCACTGCAACCTCTGCCTCTCAGGTTCAGGTGATTCTCCGGCCTCCGCCTCCCAAGTAGCTGGGACTACAGGCAGGTACCACCATGCCCAGCTAATTTTTTGTGTTTTTAGTAGAGATGGGGTTTCACTGTGTTACCCAGGATGGTCTTGATCTCCTCATCTTGTGATCCACCTGCCTCAGCCTCCCAAAGTGCTGGGATTACAGGCCGATTGCTTTCTTTTTATGTAGACGAGAAATAGATAATAACGGTTATTTGGGGTAATTTCCTTTTACTATTTGAAGTAGTAATTTGACCATACTGTGACAGTTTATTACAGAATTGACAGATGTTTTTAGATTCCTCTCTACCTTTCTAACCTTGAATACTTTTTTTGTAGAAGCAGCTATTTGGATAAAGCTTTCTAATGTCTTTGAAAAAAATACCATTATTAAGATTTCTGACCCGCTTTTTCAGTTTCCATGAATACTGACCAAAGTCTCTATAGAACACAGGAGATGGGCAGTTAGGATTTGAGGATCTTGAGGAGGGATAGATAGTTTGGGAGATGAGTAAAGGCGTTTGATTATACAAAGATAAGAAGGCACAAATTTGTGTTGGTACCAAATTACATTTAAGTCACTTTCCTCTGCTAACTTGAGCAGCCTAGCTGTAGGGGGTAGCAGAGATCCCACTGGTGTGGAGAGGTAACAGGTGCTGTGTCAGATCCTCATGGCTTGCAGTTCTAAACATTTAAACGCCATGTGCCTGGAAGTCTTGTCCACTGTCAGGAATTCTGTCCCTAATATTTTTTTCTCATCGTAATCTGATAATATGAGGTAGTGGTTCTGAATTGCTTTTCCCCAGGCCCCACATAAGTGCTTCTTTCCCCTCCAGCGTAGGGCACCAGCCTTCTTGGAAAGCACTGAATGGAGTCTTGGGTTTCTCATGCTCCTCACCTTTGTCAGCCATCCCGAGTCCTGGCTGCTCCAGGAAGGTGTTCTGTGTGTGTCAGAACCTCGGACTCCCTTTGGTTGTGCTGCGTGTGAACCAAAATTTTCTGGGCAGTTGTAACTTTCTGCAAGCCTTTTTGACCATTTGCACTGACTTTAATTCATATGCAGACAGAACAATACAAAACATTTTAAATATTCAGCATATTTAGTTTGTATTTCCCTGGACTGAATTCTGTGAATGCAAGCCACGACTGTTGAAGTAAACCTGTAGTATGCTGAGTGCTTCCAAGTCAGGGTGTGGTATGTTGCTTGCCCAAAGGCTTCTAGAAACCAGAGTTTCAGATTTCCCTTGTGATGTAACTAATAAAGAAGAGGCGTCTCTTGTTCTTGTAGAACCGTGGTTCTCTTGTCCTCTTTGCCTTATCTGTTCTGTTTTTGAGATTCTGTTGATTTTAGATAAGGAAACAAAGCTACCTGCTTAGATTTTTTTTTTTTTTTCATTTTATAGGCTTAAAATAGACTTGCCACATGGTGTAGGAAGGTTGGTGTTTTCAGATGGCCAGTGAATGGGTGACCCTGTGACTTAGGTGTGCTCTGGGAACAGTGGGGTTGACGCCCACATGTGCTGGTGCCCCAGGGCACGCTCTCGGATGCTGTGCCAGTGACTCAGATTCCTTCTTCCTTCCCCTTTAGTTGTGGTCCAAGAGAGGGAAAGAATTCTTCCCTGCAACCAGCCATTGCTTCAAGTAAGAATTTTGTGAGTTTTGTTTTTTAATTTTTAAAATAGTGCCTAAAGGGCTATGCAGCATTGAGCAAAGCTCAAATCGTTCTTGGAATGAGGAAGAATCTTGAGTAAATGGACTTGGTTGGCAAGTTCATGATTTCAGGATTAATGGCATTTTGTTTCTAAAAGAATCATTTTATCAGTTTATGCTTTCAATTTTAAAGTCATTAAATCAGCAGTGCCTCAGGTATGATAGAATTAGACATAGCATCTTTGTATTTTCTCACATTACCTCTCTAAACTTATTCTAGGTTTCTACTTTAGAAAAGGAATGAGTCAACAGGATTAATTGATAACCGCATGTTTCAGTGTTACAAATGCTAATGGAATTTAAAAATTACTCTTCTACGTTCCCTGTGAAGTACCTCCTGTACTTTTTTTTGTAATTAAAAATGCTTACTTCGGCTGGGTATGGTGACTCATGCCTGTAATCCCAGCACTTGTGGGAGGATCACTTGAGGCCAGGAGTTTGAGACCAGCCTGGTTAACATGGCAAAACCCCGTCTCTACTAAAACTACAAAAATTAGCCAGTTGTGTTGGGAGGGCACCTGTAGTCCCAGCTACTTGAGAGGCTGAGGCAGGAGAATCGCTTGAACCCAGAGGCGGAGGTTGTAGTGAGCCAAGATTGCACCACTGCATTCCAGCCAGAATGACAGAGTGAGACTCTATCTCAAAAAAAAAAAAAAAAAAAATGCTTATATCATGCATAGGACATGGAATTTATGAACAATAAAATCCTATGCAAGTTCTAATTGTTAATACTGGTCTTCAAGGAGAGTGTTGTTTGAAGAAAGACATTTATTTTATTTTATTTTTATTTTAAATGTTAGCTCCCAATTTTTTTTATGTTTGGAAATGGGAAGAATATGATTTAATTGGCAAAAAAAATTTGACCATTTATGTCAGTTCCATCCTGTATACTTTAGCAGGACATAACAGGAAGGACTCTGGAGTCCTTTGGATCTGGATATCTTTATTCTACCTGTTCCCCTGAGGCATTGTGTTAGCTGTTAGATGGAGCCACTGATTGTTAAAAGGTTCTGGTGAGGATTAAACAAGAGTTCCTGGAGCACAGTTCAGTATTCTGTCTTTGCATATTTGTTTTAATTTTTCTAAACAAAACAACTTCAGTAATAGCAGCATATTAGAATCTAAAATATGCCTTTGTTCTTTTAAAAGATAACATTAAAAAGATTTTTGCAGGTGGTGTCAACTCAAATATAATAGAATCTTTAATCATACAATGATTAGTTCATAGAAACAATATAAATATAAAAATTTGTTTTATAATTAGAAGATAAAAAAGGTTTTTTTTTTGGTTTTTTTTTTTTTTTTTTTTTAGGTGGAGTCTAGCTCCGTTGCCCAGGCTGGAGTGCAGTGGCACGATCTCAGCTCACTGCAACCTCCGCCTCATGGGTTCAAGCGATTCTTCTGCCTCAGCCTCCCAGGTAGCAGGGATTACAGGCATCCACCACTACACCCAGCTAACTTACATATTTTTAGTAGAGATGGGGTTTCACTGTGTTGGCCAGGCTGGTCTCGAACTCCTGACCTCGTGATGTGCCCATCTTGGCCTCCCAAACTGCTGGGATTACAAGCGTGAGCCCCTGCGCCTGGCCTTGAGTCTTTTTTTTTTAAGTTGAAAGATAAGATTTAAAACCAAATATGTGTTCATGTGTTCCTGTGTGACGTAGGACTGTGTTTTTTAGGATACCTGTACGTCCCAGTCTTTCTCTGTGATGTTTGTGCCACTTTAGATTCTGTTTTATGCAACATAAGCAAATGTTTATGAATATGTATTAGTGAGAAGCAGATTTTTGACTTAGTGAACAGAATTTAAAATTTGGTAACAGATTTGCTTTGTTCAAATTTGTTATATTCTGTTTCTCAATTTCTTTGGCACTTTGGAATAATCACTCATAAATTAAAACTTCAGAACTATTGAATGCCTTGGTGGGATATCACTAAGAGGTGGCTTGATTTTCCAAACCATCTTGTGTAAATGCTAACACAGTGAGCCAGTTCACTTGTATTCAAAGCTTATTTGTGCGGAGGGTTTCTCTATTTATTCCAGAATAGGATGGGACACTACAGGCAGCTCCTCCCACGTTCCTGCTCCATCACTGTCTAGCTGCAGGTGTGGGGCCCAGTCCTCCCACGCTCCTGCTCCATCACTATCTCACTGCAGGTGTGGGTGCCTGCTCCTCC